ACACAATATGCCGCTTAAAGTATCAATTGGTACTTATAATCAAATAGAATATTTTCCTGATAATGAATGAATCGCATGCGTTCTCTTATGCATTTCTCTTTGTCCTCGATCGCAAGGGAATACTTACCCGGGCAGACACTACATCACCACGGGTCATAAGTTCAGCGACCGATGGGTGATTATATTTTTTGTTTAAATTTACAAACACAAGTTTCAAACCATTTGGCTATCACGCCTGAGACAAGAAAAAAATGTTGAAAGTATGATAGGTTGGTATGCATATGGTTTTTGATTGGGAAAATGCTGATCGTTTCTTTAAAACTGTCTTTTTGAGGCAGCTTGCCATTTGAAGATGAATTTATTGTAGATTTTTTCAAAAGAGACTATCATGCTAGTGAAGTTATTTGTCACTTCTTGTATATCAATGTAGTGGGGTTTTTTTTTGTGTTTTTTTGGTGTTTTTTTTATAAGGATAACTGTTTGGTGGCAGCGAACAGATATGTATTCCTATACTAGATATAAAAGACATTACAACAAACTGTACTAACCTTGTATCTTAAACTGTGATAACTATATAGTCAGTTGACACCAGTACCCTGTATGTAACAGTTATCACAATTTTTACTCTTCTCTTGTATTGTTGCTTTATCTCTACCCAACTACATGGTTCGATAACGTCGCAACGCAATGCTGCCTCTCAAAATTATATGCAATAAAGGCACGTGGAAGATAACTAGGAAATAATGAAGTTCCCCGATATATCGTGTATTACCGTGGAACGTGTCATTACAACGACCTGTGCTAAGTCTTCCAGGATGGAAAACATGTTATTTTTTTCCGAAAGAATCTGATTTTATTGTCCTATTCACTTCCGCGTTTTTCTTTATTATTTCTCAAAGTTTGCACTTGATTACTCGTGCTTTGTGAGAACAGATAATTAAAATAATGATATATACAGAAACATATACGATATCATTAAACTGTTAAAGTGTATTCTGTTTTTAATCTGTTGAACTTTTAGGGGCATATTATCATTGTCGATGATTAATTCTTCATGTAATATCAATGTTGTAAGCGGCGGTAATTTTTCAACGCACTTGCCGGAAAAAATTTCCCTGTTGTCATATCAACTTGTTTTGACATACATATAATTTTATATAAATTTCGCTGACAAACAAGAAGACACTTTGTTATTTATTGCCGAGAAATGACATTGTGAATTTCCATTGATTACCCGATAAGTGATGGAAGGACAGTTTGTATTTACAAGGGTTTGCTGATACCGAACCATGGTCCGAGATGTCGAGTATTCGTTCGACTGTACTCTATATGATTTGCTCTGTTGAACACTTCTATCTGAAATGCCGTGATGCTTATTTATGTTTTATGAAGCGGCAAATAAATGTAGCATTATCATGGTTAATAATTAAGTATATCATAGTCTAATCTATGTCGTTGGCATACGAGGTCTCTAACACAAACAGTATGGTGTGTAGATGATAATAAAGTATTGACAAAATACTGTCTTACAAATGTACTCATTTCTGCGTTTGATTATTTTTAACCCTTACATGACACTGGCATTGACTTGCAGGTAGTGTTATTCATTGACCATGGACCATAACTGAAACATATGAATTAAATTGGTATATATTGTGTTTTGTTGATGTCCCATTAATAGTGAATGGCCATCGCTACATGCGAGTCTGCGTCTATAATCCATCCTATTCTATAAAAGAAGATATTAGTTTGATCCACTCATTTACATAGTTCAAAAAGGAAACACTTTTTGTTATATCATTTCAATGTTTCAAAAAAAAAGTTTTCTTTCATCTTTTTGATATTTCAAAAAGAATATAGTTTCATTCCATTAAGTTAAGTGTTAAGTGAAAAATAAAATTTTAAGTCTTCGCTGCAATGAAATTTTCAGACATGCTGAGGTGTTCAATAATGAATTTCATGAAGTATTTTTCTCGACATCCTGTAATTCAAAGTAGCCTGTCCAATACCCTCCTGGTACATGAGAATACTTTTAAACAAAACTTTGAACTGGCATATAGACAAAATGAAAATGATATATACTCGTATTCCAAAATTGTCGTTACAACTTGACTAATATTTATATTGTTATTCTGTTTTTCTGTCGCTCATTAATGTTTAATTTGTTCTTCGTTCATCAGCTTATTCAGATTTCAGTGAACAGCCGCAGTCACATAATTGTATTTTATTCGTAAATCACGACAACTTAACTGCACGTGGTCGTATGTGAAGATTTTCAATTTAGTTTCTCTTTTTATAACTAAAAACGATTTCAAAAATGCAATTATCACATATCTAAAAAATTTAGTTTAGGGAAACAAATAAAAACGATTGAGATAAAAGATGAATTTGCAACACATCAAACCTGCTTTTAAAAAAAGCCACATGCAATGCACAATATCTTGTTTTCTTGTAACCTTTGCAAAAGAAAGAATATTGATAATCATGCAACGTGATCTCTAAAAGACATTGCTTAGTGTGTAGGTAATAAGGATATTTGCAATGCTTGTCTTGACATGAACATTGACTGGTAAATATATTTATTCAATAAACATGAAACATAATTGAAACTCATATATATTACAAAACAACATAATGTTATAATGATAAAAAATTGTATTCTTTTGATAAAGAATACGTCTATAAATCTATATTATCTTTGATGCTTTAAGACAAAATTTCTATCTCATTATTCATATAATAATGAATTCGCTCTTTAACGGTGTTTTGTTATGCGATTTTAAATTTCTTTTATTTTTGACGTATGAAAAGGTCTCAGAGACTTTCTTGTGCCATTTCCTTTTGGAAAAGATCTAGAAATCTAACAAAAACATCTTCAAATATCTTCAGGACTAAGTCAATAAAATTGCCGTTTGTTTCCACTGGCTGGCAAATGTCATGACCATAGCTGTTCTACCAAATATTGAGAAAGAATTTTCAAAAGATTTTGTCATTCATTAACATAAACACAAAACAACGCATAGCTTTGAACTAGAATTAAACATATACAATGTACTAGGCAAATTAATAAATAATCAATACTGATTGCATTGATATCAGGATTGCACACGTGACGCACAAGTGCCAATGACAACATGGTTAAATTGATTAAAAACATGATATTTTCGGAAATAAATCAAATATATATCAATTAAACATGGAAACGCAATCAAGTTTGTAGTTTCAATGTGATTTCATCATTTGCTCTGCAGTGCGTTATCTCCTGTCTTGCTGTTAATAATAAATAGACCATCGTCTGTGGATAATTTAAACAGGGTAATAACAATCCGCTCGCTGATGCGGCCGATTCACATGTTTCCGTTTGATTGATATCAGTGATCAGTGTAAATAGCACTTTCATCAAGTTTGCCTTTGAAATCAAACCCTTATGCGCCAGTGCGTTGTCAGTCTAGGAATGGATAACACGTTACACTAAATGGATAACAGGTCACACAAAATGCATTAAATAAATTAACAATAAAGAACAGTAAATAACTAACCGAATTGACTACAGTACATTGTTACCATCTTGTGTATTTTTTGGTCTATAACCTGTTTACCCTCTCATAACAGTATTTGCGACCTTAGTGTGCCTAGGATTAGAATACAGATGAAAAAGTTTGTCGATTCCATACCAACTTTGCACTACCCACATTAGTGCTAGTACTCTCCACACTGGTTATATGTGTGATGAAGGTGACAGTGTAGTAATCAAAATATCACACTCTAATCTTCTACTGGAGTTGTTGTAAGACCTTCTATTCTGTTACAAGTAAATAAGGTTTCTTATAATTCAATACTATGCATCTTTACAGTAAATATTATATTTCTTAAAAGACAATAAAATGATGTCTCAATCATTATTATGGATCCATCTTCATCCTTAGCCATGTCGTCTCTTCTATGGCTAAATCTAATTATTCAGTATTTCAATAGAGAAAAATTCTTGCATTGTTTATCTCGGTATAGCAAAAGGTACGACTCCACTGCTCAACGCGAACATGATTGAATGCACGTAATAACTACGGTTGCAATATTATCAAAATTTTCTACAAATCTGATTACTGTAAAACGATGCATTTTCGTTAGGTTCAATTTTCAAGTTTTTTCCAAAGATTTGCATACACTTGGTCCCTTGAAGAAATAAAGACCAATCAATCTACTAATACAAATTTCGTGAACATACAAATACATGGATTAAGAGTATCCACGAAATCTTCGAAAAGAAATATCCCAAGGAAAATGGATGATTCTACATTACACAATGCGCAACCAATCGCATATATACATTCAAATTTACAATGCCCTAGTATTTGTTGTACCAAAATAGATCTTCTAAAAAGACATATCCTCACGCAAGAAACAAAGTTTATGTTTCTATAAACGATATCCAACGGTATTTAAACATGTTTTGATGTGATCAAAATATCATGAGGGTAAAGAAATTAACTTATTTGTGCTGAAATTGCAAAAATTAATCTTTTACTAACATGAACTCGAAACTATAAAAATAGACGAATTGACAATTAGTTGGTTATTCGCTCAAAATCAATATTTTGACCGTTAAGGGACGCACAGTGGATATGAAATTTCCACCGTATTATTTGTATTTTATAAAAACAAGTACTTAGATGACACAATAATGCTATTCTCTCTTGACTTCACCAATCAAAGGGAGTCAAAAAGTATAATACTATTCCGTCAAGCATATCAGTGAAAATCGAATCATATCCAAACAACGTGACATTACACATATCAAAATTACAATCCAACAAGAATATCTCATGAGAACGAAGATCCTTATACTATGAAAAGTATTAGAATTGAGAAGGGTAAGATAACACGAGAGAAAGCGTGATATCTCAAGGAAGTGTTACTTTGACATGGACACTTGACAAGGTACTTCTCCAGAAATCTTACCGTTCCGGGTCGCAACTAGGTCTGCCACGAAGGCAGGGTTTGAGATCTTAAGACTTGCATTTCAAATGTTAAGAGAGTCTGAACGAAAAGTGATCTAGGTATATTAAGGTGAATCAATATATATATGTATATTAATGACAATTCCAACGCTTGGCCTGATGCTTTCTGACACGTTGTTCCAGTTCTCTGGTCTCCTCTCGTATTAACGTATCAATCACAGTTCCGAATATATTCGTCCCAACTCGAATGGGCATTGTCGTACTGTAGGTGGTTTGTGTTATCATGTACTCGCATGGGTCGTAGGATACAATATCCACCTGTACTCTTTCTGTAGTAGTATGCAACACAGAAAAAGTCCGACCGCGTGTTACACGCGTTTGCGCAGTAAGATGCAGTGACACTCCCACCACTTATAGAAGGAGTGAAGGAAACAGGAGGGTTGAAGTACCAATTTTCTCGCTTGGTGTAGGAGGTTTTGTACGAACTGCACTCTGGAATAAAAGCGACATAACGACATTACATAAAATTACAGGGAAATACATAATTCACATTAACGAACTAGTATATGTAAAATAAGTCATCTTGCAATGCTTCACAAGCGCTTATCTTATGAAAAAAGGTTCAATTTACTTACCAGCTTTCGGTAAGAAAACGAACGAAACCATTCTCTGAACTTGTCGTTTTGTAATAGACTGGCGGTTATATTTTGCATTTACCACAATAGTACAGTTGCTCAAAGCCTTTTCTGATTTTTGCTTTGATCATCATAATAGGTCCTACAACACATATGCCATGAAGTATTATTTTTCAAACAGACTATTTTTTGGAAAACAGTGTCATCCACAGGATTTAAAAAAAAAACCTAGTTCACGGACTTAAATAATTATAAAATTCATAAAAAAAAATCACAACGGAAAAATTATCACCTTTATTTATCCTATATAATAAATTATGCACATAAATATCTTTTTTCAACAGAACTCTTTGTTCAAGATACCAACATCTAAATTTAACGCCTTTTTAAAAAAAACTGTTTTTCTATAAGAATATTTAATCCATCCATTGTGTACATCATCATATCCAATTCTAAACTGAAATAATGCCTTCATTAGCTTGTTATGAAATCTTTCTTTACAGGAGCTGCTATCATTATATATTTAACTAATCATGTACGTGTTAAACTGGTTTAGATAGTAGTAAACAAATACGTATACTGATTGTTAATGTTTATACATTATACAATGTATTATGGAAAAGGAGGTACTTTCACAGACTTTTGGTCGATTATCAGGAAGAAGAAGAAGAAGAAGAAGAAGAAGAAGAAGAAGAAGAAGAAGAAGAAGAAGAAGAAGAAGAAGAAGAAGAAGAAGAAGAGGAAGAGGAGGAGGAGGAGGAGGAGAAGAAGAGGAGGAGGAGAAGAAGAAGGAGGAGAAAAAGAAGAAGAGGAAGAGGAGAAGAAGAAGAGGAGGGAGGAGGAGGAGGAGGAGGAGGAGGAGGAAGAAGAAGAAGAAGAAGAGATCAAAATGTGATATATATCAATGAATCCGATTTCGTGAGATGAACCAATTACACTTTTTTATAATTAATAATAAAATACACAACGATTTAGCATGGAATAATCTTTTCAATAGTTTGTTTTGATGTGTTGACATTCAATTTCAGTTGCATTGCAATTAAAGGCAATGCGATTGACAAGAATTCAACGAGACAGGCTGTATAACCTTAGATGATAGATAAGATTCACCGAAAATTGCAAAGATTGTTGTGTTTGGTATTTGTTATGAAGTACTTCTGCTTCAAAATGTCGTTATAATTGAATATATATATTTAAACTATTTCAAAATTCGTTAAGGTTGTTAGTGATATCTAGGGTACATACTTGTGCATTGAATGTTCACACTTGACCAGACACCATTCGTGCAGGTAGATGTAGCTGGGTTGTCTCCCGATACAAGAATAGCTCCTACATCACACGTGTATGATCTGGATGATCCTGTTCCTGACACAGATGTGTAGGCTACATATGGTGGGTCAGGACAGGGAATTTCTGAAATCATTCATACCGAAAAGTGGTAATTAGTGATCAACCTAATTCTAAGAATGATCACACTGTCGTAATATGCATTTGTTCATTTTTCATAAAGAGTAAAATTCTTTTAATTTCATGAATAAATCATCCTACTTTATTGTATTACAATGGATATTACCCGAGATCGAGTATACAACAATTCGTACGGTGGATAAATACATCGATTGTCTTAAAAAGATTATGTGTAGTATACTCTGGTCTTACCACAGTTCCGAATATATTCGTCCCAACTCGAATGGGCATTGTCGTACTGTAGGTGGTTTGTGTTATCATGTACTCGCATGGGTCGTAGGATACAATATCCACCTGTACTCTTTCTGTAGTAGTATGCAACACAGAAAAAGTCCGACCGCGTGTTACACGCGTTTGCGCAGTAAGATGCAGTGACACTCCCACCACTTATAGAAGGAGTGAAGGAAACAGGAGGGTTGAAGAACCAATTTTCTCGCTTGGTGTAGGAGGTTTTGTACGAACTACACTCTGAAATAGGAGTGACAAGACATAATAGTTAAACAGAATATACAATTTTCTGAAATAAACAAATATATTTCTTGGTATCTTTCAAAATATATCAAAACGCGATCAAGATAACCACTTATAATTCGATACTGTGTTCAACCTTCTGATAGAACAAAAACACTGATCTCATTTACTATAGTTTTTGGTATTGGAGTATCAACAAAATATAGCTCATCATAAGAGAACAGTAAAATTATATATATATTCTAATTGGTATTTCATTTGAAATATGTAAATGTTGGCAAAGCAAACTACGCGTCGTTAAAAATGGTGACGGGAAGATTATACAACGAAGCATGTATGAGATGTCAACCATATCTTCTGCTCCAGAATTCAGTTGGGATTGAAAACAATACTCTGTTGGATGTCTTGAAAGCTACCGATATTTGTTTAAATAATAACGGCGCATTTACTATTACAATCGATGTTTGGTGTTGACCACGCTCCGGCATTAGTACACGTTGAGGTTGCAGGATCGACACCGGATTCTAAGATAGCACCAACATCACAAGAATAGGAAATTGTCGTTCCTTCCGCCGTCCCGGAACCTGTTATCGTGGTGTATGCTATAACTGGATGCGATGGACATGTCACAACAGCTAAAAAAGACATAAAATTACCTGTAATTCTAATCTAACATTCTTATAAATTCTTGTAGAAGGTCGACAATTTCTATCACAAGATAAAACACTGATTGCTAATAATACAGTTAACAAAAGACACTTATATCATTTCTCCATATACAAACACTCTTATTATCTCGTAACTATTATGGCAAACAAACGCTAATTTACACTAATGACGATTTAAAGTCTCACTCTTTGCACGATGAAAACGTTCATTCCGATCATCCAGCCACAAAAGAATAATTGCATGCTGCATAACGTAAAAAGACAATGCAGTAAAATTGCCCTATATCATATCGTAAACTCCTCCACAGCATATCGTATCTATCGAAAATTCATTGACATAAAATAATATTAGGAATGCTGATTTGACAAAATGTTACAATCTCTAGATACTTTATTGATTTTGAAAAAAAAAATAAAAATAGATTTTTTCCATTTTAATATCATCCATATTTGTAAAAATATTTCAAATAAATACACTGCACGTGATAAAAGTATTGTTTATAGATGCATTAAGACAAAAAACGGTGCTCAAGTGTGACTTAATTAGTAATTAGGGCACTTAATTACCGTGACCTACTTTAACAATGGCATATTTTTTGGTCATTTTTTCTAATGAAGGTTTTAGAATATATCATCAAATGACATTTAAGAGAAAAAAAAATTTAAAAAAATTTTTAGTTTGATAATTATTGCAATAATTATGAATTTGATCCCCCACTTGTCCCCCCTATAACAACTGAACGGCCTTGAGCTGACCTTAGATTAATGTCAAGTCATTACCGTCTGACCTCAAGTTTTTAATAGACAAAAAATAAAAAGTATTCGTCGTGGCCACCAGAAGGCCCAAATTGGCACTCCTCCTTTGATAAATATCCTATACGACAATTGATTAATTGTGTGATGCAAATAATGTGGTGTTTAACATTTTATGACTTGTGAGAGCAGTTTATCCTCACAGGAATGCAGTAATAGGTTCGCACCTGGGCTACAAGAGTATGAGCTGCCTGTCCATGATCCAGACGACTGACACGTGACGGTAAAGACACTTCCGCTGATGTCATATCCACTGGCGCAAGAGAACGTCCTTGAGCAGTCATACGTGGTACATCCGCTGCTTACTACGCCATTTTGTTCAGTAACGGTAGGCTCCCCACAGTCTACAAATAAACAATAAAGCTTTGACATTTTTCTAATTAGTCAAATCCACAAGGCGTAATGTCGGATCATGTTAAATCCCTTCTAATATACTTTCTTTAACAATAAACGAACAGAAAAAATACGATCAATAATGAACAATATATCATTCATTATTGTCAACTGGGACTTGATAGATCCTATCTCCTTTACACAATACATCTACTACACGTCGATTTCCTTTAAAGAAATAATTGTTATATTCAACAAACAACCTTTCATATATTAAATACCCAAATACCAGACAGGAGATATTTTCTTTACAGACAGGAGAGTTATGCAGGTAGTTACAATATTCCTATTCTTTGAATGTGTCAAGCTTCTTGTAACTTCTAATTGTTGAGTTAATGTTTGTATCATTACGTACCCACGATTGTACAGGTGAAGCTTGGTGATGACCAGGAACCTGATGCCTGACAGGTGATAGTGCCACTTAAACTGTTTGGAGTATACCCTGTGTCACATGAGTAGGTGCGGGAGGCTTGGAAGATAGTGCTGGAAGAGCCTTCAATACTTAACCCAGAATACGAGGATGGCTGTCCACAGTCCACTATTTACAAACAACAAAAACGGCGAGGTTTAAATTTATAAAAAATATTATGTAAACTTAGCAAAGTAACTTTTTTAAAGTTTTTTTTATAAACAGTGTGTTATTTCTTCATTGTCGAACGTATTTAACAAGTTAGCGGTAAGAGAAACTAGTACAGAAAGTACGGACTAAACATCAAGGAAACAACAGTAAATATCAAGAAAATTTAAATTCCATAAATCTACGGAAAATATGAACAAAAGAAAGATTTCCAAGGAGTTTCCTATAAATAAGACCAGGTATTCCGGAGGAGTAAGCATCTTATGCCTCATCAACAACACCCGCCATGTAAACCTTGGTCAATCCAAGTAAGTAATATCACGTTTTCAAATGCGAACAAGGTATACAACAACGGAACCAACAAACAAATTAACGAGTATCAAATACGTCCAGCTTCATGTTACACAAAGAAATAGAATATTTCCTCAATTAGACCACTATGACGACAATAAAACTTCCACACAGTTTTCGTCGACCTGCATCTTTTGAATCCTTGTGTAACGAGTTTGTTAGTAAGTTGACAACTTCTTGCACGAAAATCGTGATAATGGGAACAGGACTTTGAATATCGAATAAACTGTGACATGTAAATACTATTGGTTGGAGATGCAGGGTTATTGCTATTTTGACATGGAAAACCTGTCCATGTTGGTTTCGTTGTAGGAAAAGATCGAGATAAGTAATATTAGCTTTGATTTAAAATATGAAAACCTGTTCATAAAACACATATGGCGGATCGATCTCAATAAAGCTGCAACAGAGAGTCTGCACAAATATATCAAATATATATCTTGTAATTTTTGAAAAGGCAATAATTTCCCTCTAGCTTTATGATTAATTGTATACCTCATAAATATTTATGTCAGAACGGGTTATGGTTTAAGTGACCGGAACTTATGTGTTTACTAGATGTAACAATGATTAAAAATGGTAGTATTAATTAAGATATGATATAATATGTGATATTGGATGCAGTAATAGGTTCGCACCTGGGCTGCAAGAGTATGAACTGCCTGTCCATGACCCAGACGACTGACACGTGACGGTAAAGACACTTCCGCTGATGTCATATCCACTGGCGCAGGAGAACGTCCTTGAGCAGTCATACGTGGTACACCCATTACTTACTTCGCCATTTTGTTCAGTAACGGAAGGCTCCATGCAGTCTGTTAATAAATAATAGAGCTTGAAAATATATCATTACCAAAGTTTGACTGTACAAAAATATTGTGTGAATTGATGTATATTTTCAGACATACAGGAATAGTGCACAATTTTTAAGTAGTAATAAAGAAATCCAACCAATTATGAAATTTAATCTTTTTTCAAATTTTATTCCAAATAAATGTTTATACTTAGATATTTACTCCTGATTGCCAAAATATATGAAGGGATTATTTTTGAAAACGCACAGGAAATCAAGATTGAAAACAAGCAATACGGGGAAAATTATCTAAATCCTTTTGAATGAGCATCGCGTAATAGACCAAAGTACATTGGTTATTTGGAGAACTTACAACATTTCAAGTTGAAAACGGACAACGCTTAATCATAAATGTGTTTAAAATTCACTAGTTCTCTCTAGAATTGCGAGACAAAAACATAAGGCCTATGTGTGTAAATATTTTTTTTTCAATTTTTAATGTCTTATCAAAAAAGTCAAATATCACTTGTAGGTTGTAAGTCAAATATGAATTTTGCAACAGTATATCTGTATGACATCAACCTGATCGACTGAGAGATACAATATAAACTTGATGATTGAAATCTTCTTAATGTGACATTCTGTCAATTATGTTGGCAATGCTATGACGTCATTTTCACCATACTGAAACACAATACATTGTTTACGTCGTCATATATCATAGCTGACATACACACAAGAACAGTTTAACATTTATGAACGTAAATACAAATATCGAATGCCTGTCAAGCTACGTATGAATATGAGTGCAGTCTCTGTGACAGATAAATAACGAGGATTGAAGGTGTTGTATGTCAGCCGAACTGATGCAAAGCTTCAATATATTCTAACAACTGATTAATGATTAAATGTCACGGTAGAATTTTGAATTATATTCTTACAACTGATTAATGATTAAATGTCGAGGTATAATTACGGTTTTGTTTACACATAGGAACTATATACGGGGAGACAATCTCATCCTGGATTAGTTTCACTCTCTCGAGAAAATTATTTGTCTTTGCTCGATGTTAAATTCGCTCTTAAATCATAATATCATTCACTTTCACTTGAAATAATTATTTTCACCCTCTAGACAAATTGCTGAAATGGCGAAAAAGATTTTCAATATACTGTATTTTCTAGTTGTTGTTTTACATTGACGAAAGAACTCAAAATTAATGACAAGATATTTTAGTGATTACAGATTTCTAACAAATATGCAAGGAAAGACTTTCAATCAGAAGATCCCAACCATGAATTTAGCATATGTAGAAAAAGGATTTCAGTGATAATTCACGTGATATTTACACCAATTCTGAATATTTATGAAATTCCCAAGTTTCTTTTTTAACATGGTAGAAAGGCAAGTCGTAAATACAAAAGATAAAAGCATTTTTGATGAATTTTTTTTCGGAAATCGAAAGGTAACCGAGAACGTAGCCATGAATAATAAAATAAAATGCTACAAATAGTTCGCTATAGTATTAAGTATCTTCCCTTGGGTATACAAGCCTTGTATGGTGTAAATCCTATATCCTTAGATTCAGTACGACAAAGGCACATCTGGTTTCAGCTAAACATAACTAAATATATGTTAGTAATTGTACTAAAGACACACAGGTAAAACTAGCATTAGACAGTAGAGCCAAACAAAAAAGGAAACTGCATCATACGTTTGTTTCATCCTATGACTCGTCAGTGATGCTATGGTCCTATGCATTTAAACCGAGCACGCGACAAAGAACAATCTAAAGTGACCGAAATAAATGTGTTAAAAAAAATATAAAACCCCAGATTATGAGGTGTGCAAGCTCTATAATTGAATACATTTCCTAATTTTTATAGATATGAACATTTTAAAAGGCCGTCCAGTGCACGTTTAATTCTGAACCTTTTGAAATCATTAATCTGTTTATCTTTAGCGTTTCCATAGTAAACATTCTTTAAGATTCTTTTGCACTCCGTACTATATATAATGTATTCGTAATAATTTGCTCCCACAGTAAGCTATTCGAAATAGTTAACCTCCTGTCCTAATTCGGCTTTACAGGGGACTGGGGTTTAATCTGAATAACATTTTGTCTTTTATCACAAATAGTTATGTACATTTCGCTCTCAGGTGACTTATGATAAGTTTCTGGGCGCTATTAATTGGGCTCTTTCCACTTGTGTGTGTTTTACACAAACCTTTGTAATGTCTCAAGTCATTCGTACATAATAAAAGCTGTCATTTCCTTTATTTTTGGAAAGTTTCTTCAGTAAATATCAACAACATTTGAAAGGCATTCCGGACGACCTAAAGGAACAAAGTTTCCCCTATCCGCCAGATTTGGTTGTCAAACATCTGTAACTTGCATCTCCTTCAAGGTTCTCAATGCAGGCTCTGCTGCTCTACCATGGCCACTTTATCTAATTATTGTCTTGAATGCCTGTCAGTTTCTCATAATTTAAAGTTGACACATGTTGTTTCAATGTTCACAAAGAAAGATTCGCTTGACAAACAAAAGTACAGACTTGTCATTGTTTTATCATTAACTTCAATTTGTTTTTAGGAATTTTACACGAAGAATTTTTTTTAAATCATACATTTATTCCCTTTCTTACAGCTTCATGAAGGGATACGGACGCCACTCTACCCTGCTGTGACTCTATGAGGATTTATTTTTGTTTTATGTTGTTTTGCTCATATCAAGCCTTAGCTTTATTGAATTTGATCATGAAATTTGTGATTAGATTGTTTTGACATGTTGGTATTTTCTTGACTTTTTTCAATTTGACCGAATAGTTATTTCCTTCCCTGGGCATCCCTGATCTCTTGAACATAAAATGCTATGATAGCTCAAGATGACAAGGGTCTTGGCGATGACCGTAGATTTCAGACAACATTACAAAGTACCTTTTTTCACTTTTCAAACCCAAGGAGTTAAATGGGAATGATAGGAAGACACACACTATGCTACTCGACGTGCACATACTTAAAACTAAACAGAAGGTTGTTGACAGCATTAATATATATGATGGCATTACTTACCAACGATTGTACAGGTGAGGCTTGGTGATGACCAGGAACCTGATGCCTGACAGGTGATAGTGCCAGTACCACTGTTTGGAGTATACCCTGTGTCACATGTGTAGGTTCGGGAGGCTTGGTAGGTGGTGCTAGGTGAGTTGTCAATACTTGCCCCAGATAACGAAGATGGTTGTCCACAATCAACTTTTAAGCAAAATGAGAAATGATTTACCCGATTTTACACGTATCCTATTTTGACCTAAGGTTTATTACAGTTTGTATTGTTGATACAAATCTTCAGTTGACATCAACAGATTTTTAGTTTGTTTTTGTCTTATTTTAGATTCGCCTTATTTTCACATTATTTACAGGTAAATTTCAAAGCTTTTGACATAAAGCTTATAATTATCCAGGTTATTTGATTTGCAAATAAAGATAATCTTACAGTATATCCGGTTAATATCAATATCGCATTAACGGAATAATTTTATCCTAAATATACATCATGTCAACTAATTCCATTCGATTCAACTGAGAAGATTCAATTATGAAATAAAACGTCACCTGGTGAGCATGTGCCTGCCAACGCAGACCAAGTGACATCCGTATTACATGTGGTTTTTAAGTCCACTCCACCG